TGGCCCAGGGAGCCCCAGACCAGGAGAGACAGGGATGCTACACATCTCAGGGACAGTTGGTACCAAGGCCCTGTGTCCACCAGGCATAGAATCCTGAGGCTGGTGGAGACCTGACTGTGGGCCTGAACGAGCACAGGGAAGCCCCAGGCCTGCAGACATGGAGGTGGGAGATGAGCCACAATCCAGGCCCAGTTACCTGGCAACAAGGAACAGGTGTGGCCCAGGCAGAACTGTAGGACTGGTTCACAAGGTGACAACCAGGGCAGCCGCAAGTGGGACCCTCTTGGTACCACAGGGTGGTGCTGCTGAGCCCATGGGCTATAGGACCAGTGACTTGCTTATCCCACAGTGGGAAGAGAAGAGAGAGGCAGGGCCCAGCACCTTTTGCCCTGGCAAAGGCTGGGGGGCCCAAGATGCTGAGAAGAACTCTGCATCACTTCCTAGGCTCTTCAGTGCCCGCTGCCCTGAGACAGATTGCGCGAGTGGCCACGAGCTGGCTTCTGGGCACCTAGGGACCTGCCGTCCATCCAGCTGCTTCCGCACGGGAGACCAGCTGGCCACCTCCCGTCCCCACCCCACCGCGGATCTCAGATGTGTTGCCGCAGCCTCAGCGGTCTCACTTCCACCCTAGGCGTGGAGCTCTGTGCTCACAGGAGCTGGAGCAACTAGAGGTCCAGTCCTGGGCGTCCTCATGGCTCTGAGCCTCTGTTTTCTGTTATGGCAAAAAGAGGGTGATTAAGGGACCCATCTCGTGGGGTTGTTGCAGGCTCTGGAGAGATACACGTTACGCTTGGACACAAGGGGTCTCCCTGAGTCCATGGGCACACCCAGGCTGTTCTGTAGCACAGCAGATGGTTAAGAAGGACCCCAGTGGGAGGTCTCCGTTGGCCCTGTTTCTAGAGTCTGTTGAGAAACCCAGCGAGCCCAGTGGGGGCAGGGAGAGCGAGCCCTAGCAGGCTGGGCAGGGCCAGGCATCCGTGTTAGTGACCCTGCTGGGTCCAGGAGGGTCGATGTGCTTTGTGTAGTGGGGCTGGGGCCAGTAGGGGAGAGGACTGATGGAGTAGAGTCCATCTAGCTGGCAAAATACGGTTGCCAAGGAGGAGAGGGACTGACAGCAGCTGGTCCAGGTACCCCTGGGCTACAGGGCCCCCAACCCCCTCCTCTGGGAACCCAGGAACCTCCCTGCCTCTCCACAGCCGCACACCCCAGCAGCAGCATTCCTTCTGCCCAGCTCTGCTCTGAGGCCAGAGCCCCGAGGATTGGGGCCAGCTGGACCCTCCATCCAGAAGTGAGCTGGGAGTGGGTGCTGGACCCGGGCCATGAGGCCGTGGGAGCTCAGAAGCACTGGTGGTGGCACCCTAGGACAGGTGGCACTGTGAGAAACCGAGCGAGAGATGCTGCCGTGCCAGGAGGGAGAGGAGCCGAGGCGGCACTGCCTGGCTTCTTGAAGCCTGGCCAGGCAGTTTCTGATTCCTGGCCCTGCTGAGGCCCAGCTGTGTCCCTGCCCGTGGCCTCGGGGAGAGCCCTCGTGTCCTTATGTAACCAGCTTACTCAGTGAGCTGGACGCAGTCAGGTGTAAGCAGAAACCAACCTTGGTTTTCCCCCGGTGTCCTTCCAGCCACTCTGCGGACTTGCTCTTTTCCCAGCTGGAGCTGAGGATGCCATAGGGCCCTGGCCTTCCCGGAGCGAGGCCCGACAAAGCCCAGCCCTCCGTTCCAGACAGTCCTAGCCCTGGGGTACAGGGGCCAGTCCGTGCCCCTGCCTCCCGAGCTTTCTGGTTCTGGGGTTGGGATGGAGAATGAGCAGAGAGGGGCAATGGCCCAGCTCCTGTCGCTGGTTGAAAGGGATCCCAGAGTGGGTGCCTGCAGCTGTGCTGGGTGCATGAGGCACCCGCTGCTGCTTCAGGTCCCCTCAAGGCCCTCTGATTCCGTTCCTGGTGGCAGTGCTGCAGGCCTGCTGAGCACTCTGCTCTGCCATCCTCAAGTCCTGTGTGTCCTGCTCCGACCCCAGCCCCCAGCCCCCAGCCAGGCACTTCTCTGCCTCAGGCCTTGAGCCCTGCAGCCTGAGCTGGAAGTGGTTCCCATGTCTGCCCCGACCCGGCCCGGCTCTGGGAATGGCCCTCTGAGGGTCCTTGCGTTTGATTTGGGGTGAGGGGGCTGCCCTCCCTCCCTGTGGGGCCTGTGCACACTGTCTCCCCCCCACCGGGTCTTTGCATGGCTTCCACGGGCTTCGGGTGGCACCAGCCACACCGCAGAAGCCACCGGGGTTGTCCCTTCTGCAGGGAAAGCTTGCGTCTTACTCTGGAATGTGGGACACTTGGACACTGGTATTTTGTCCTTTAGCCTTTGGGGTCTCCGATGAAACTGAGTCAGAAAGAGTGGGTTTTCACACCGTGTTGCGCTTGAATCTGCCCCTTTTCTGTTTCGTTGTCGGGGTCTCTCTTGACAAAACTGTGAGAAACTGATGGGGCAGGCTTGGGGGATCACAAGAGATCCCTGGACTCCCAAAGTGTTCTGTGGATTCTGAGTGTGGTGACTCCCGTTACCGATGTTTTGGAGTTTTCTTTTTCAGTCTTGTTCAAGATAGCAAGAGTGTGTGTGTGTGTGTGTGTGTGTGTGTGTATGTGTTGGGCCAAGAGTCCATGGGCACACCCCAAGCCGTTCTGCAGCACGGCAGGCGGCTAATAAGGACCCCAGTGGGGGAACTGTTGGCCCTGTATCCAGAGTCTGTCGAGAAGCCCATGGTCACTTGCTTAGAGATCTGTGTTTCTGCCCTGCCCCCACAGAAGGCCAGCAGGTGGGTGCCCCTCCCCCACTGCCAGTGACCGAGGGGTTGGCCCCTGCTGTGGCACGGGGGTTTGGCTGGGGCAGAAGAATGTCAGGCTGTGTTGGCTTCCTCTGGGTCTACAAATGTACCCACCACGGAGAACTTAGACATAGCAGGACTCTGGGGACTGTGGGCCTTAAAGGTGGTGGCAGAGAGGAGTAGCCTGGCCCACGGATGCTGGCTGTGTTTGCTGGTGGGCACAGGGCACTTCTGCATGGTCTCCCGCCCCGCCCTGGCTTCTTCCACCCCATTGCGGTGACATCCCTCCTCCCATTGTACTCCAGGGAGAGTAGGCCCCCTCCCCCGATGAGCCAGGTGGGGATTGGGAGAAGTCACTGCTGTTCCCGCTTCCATCTGGATGCCAGCATGGTCCAGCGTGGCTTCCCCGAGCTGGCTGCCTTCGGGTAGTGACAGCAAGGTCACGCCTTGCTTTCCTTGGCCCTCCAGACGTGTGAGCTGGTGTGGTGGGAGTCTGGGCCAAGCTGCAGGCATTTTCGTCAAAGAGCACCCACATTTCATCATGACCCCCACCACTGGGGAGACGTGGTGCCCGGCGCCCGTCACCTGCTGGACCAGCTGCCACTCGGGATCTGAAGCATCTGCCTGCCGTGACGGCGACACAGAAGCCAAGACGGACGGAAGTCTCCTTCTGAGCACGCGGCGGGCTTCAGGAGTGCCGGCCGCCCGCGGGCGCAGCCTCTGGCCGTCAGCGCTGTCTGTGGGGAGTGCTGGGAGCAGGGGTGTAAGTGTGTGTGGAGTTGTGACGTACACACTGCCCGTCACCCTTGGGAACCACTGGGTTTCAATTCATGCCTCCATCCACGGTGCGTAGCAAGTGCACACCCCTTGTCCGCATTCCCTGGTCAACGCGGAGGTTGGCGTGTTTTTTTTCTTTCGTCTTTGCCAGTCTGAGAGGTGATGGTTGATCCTTTCTCTGCACCTCTCTGGTTATTACTGAGCTTGGTGTCCTCTGTTATTTATTTATTGGCCATTTGTGACTTCTCAGGTGTTCATGCACTTTGCTAGGTTTTCTGTCATGGTGTTTGGACACAAAGTTACGAGTCTTGGGACACACCTGAATATTCGCCTTGCATCTGCTATATGTGTGGCCACTATTTTTTCTCTTGTTTGATATTTGCCTTTCAATCGTGGTCACATTTTGTTTTGTTTTGTCTTTTGGAAGGCAGAAAATTTAGGTTTTTTTTTTAAAGATTTATTTTATTTAGTTGAAAGAATTACAGAGAGAGGTAGAGACAGACAGAGAGGTCTTCCATCCCCTGGTTCACTTCCCAGATGGCCACAATGGCTGGAGCTGCGCCGATCCAAAGCCAGGAGCCAGGAGCCTCTTCCAGGTTTCCCATGTGGGTGCAGGGGCCCAAGAACTTGGGCCATCTTTCCCAGGCCATAGTGGAGAGCTGGATCAGAAGAGGAGCAGCTGGGACTAGAACCAGCGCCCATATGGGATGCCAGCGCTTCAGGCCAGGGCTTTAACCTGCTGCGCCACAGCGCCAGCCCCGAAAATTTAGGTTTAAAAATGATTTATTTATTTTAAAAGCAGAAAGAGAAGAGAAAGAGAGAGAACACTCATCCTCTGATCCACTCTCCAGATGCCCAAAAGAGCCAGGGTTGGGCCGGGAACTTACTCCAGGTCTCGCCTGCGGGTGGAAGGGACCCAATGCTGGCGCCCGCATCTGCTGCCTCCTATGGCGCACATGAGCAGAGGCAGATCCAGGACTCGAGTCCGGGAGCCCTGATGCGGGATGGGTGCGGCTTCCTACCTTCCTTGCCAAAGGTGTGCCCAGATTTGGATTTTAGAAAGTAGTATCCCTTAGTCTTTCCTGGAATCGGTGGCCCTCCCAAGCCTCAGGTTTATTTTACAAGGAGATGGTTCTGCTGGCTGTGCAGGGCCTGGAACGAGAGTGATGGCGTCCCCGGCTGGGAGCCTGTTGCAGTGGCTGAAGGAGTGGAGAGGTGACGGGGACGCCCTTTGACCTGAGCAGTGAACCTGTGAACCGGAAGCGGCCTGGTGGATGTCGCCTGCTCTGCCTCTGAGGTGCTTCCAGGGCGACCGGGGAGCTGCGCGGGGCACCCGAGGGCGCAGGAGGGAACCACAGGCAGGGGTGTGGGTGTCACGTGCATTCGGGCACAATAATGCACATGGCCATACCTCCAGATCGCACCGATGGCTTTTATTGCAAATTTGTGTCATTACAAGGATAATCTGGGAATATATTAAAAAAAAAAACCAACCCTCCGTTTTATTTACACAGAACATGCTACATGGTACACTTTGTGAGAAACACTGAGGTAATAGGCGTGCACCCAGACGTGGACAGTCCCACCAGTCCCACATCTTGCACGCCTGGCCGGGAGGGCCTCCCTGCTGGCCTCATCTCTTGCTCCGGGCTTGGCAACAGTCCCGTTGGCACTGAGTCTGACGCTTGCGGCTGGCAGGACACAGAAAGCCACCACGGTGCAGGGCAGCAGCAGGGGGCCCTGCGGCCCCGCTGAGTCAGTTCTCACTTCCCGGGGACCCTGTTCCCCAGGGAGGCGTAGTCGGCCCGAGAACACGGGACCGCCGGTCTGTACCGTTGGGGGCCCCGTCGAGCTGACGATGCCTGCTCTTCAGCTGACTGTCTCCTGGCAAGGTGGGTCACTACTTGTGTGGAGGTTACAATGACACGTAGGCTAGAGTACGAATGGAAGATACAAAACTGCAGATACATGATGCGTGTGGCCTGGGAGCTTTTGGCTTGGCCTTCCCTTTCCTGACCAGAAACCTGAGCCCAGACTGTCTCCTACTCAGAGGCGAGGGGGGTCTTGCCTGAAAGAAAGTTCTGTGCAGAAGACAGAGTGCACGGGGCGGGCAGAGGAGGTGCCTGGCACTGTAGCGAGTGGCCCGGGGCTGACGCACGGAGTCCTGAGTGAATGGTGCTGAACCGATGCACGGGGCCGGTGGGGGCCTGGCGGGAGTCCGGAGAGTGGGAAGAAGCAGGAGAAAGGAGAGGGAGGGAGATTCGGAAGTTTGGCAGGCCGGGGGCCTCCGCGTGAGACCCCAGCCTTGTGTGCACCTCTGGAAGAATCCAGGCACACAGTTGCCAGCAGTAATTGTTTGAGCTGGGGCTCCGCAGCCCGTGGTCTGCCCTTGGACCCGCATAACCCATCCTGAAGGACACGCTGGGTTTTCTTTTCCTACGAGCAAAGCGGTTGGTAATGCGCGAGCGACTGGGTGGAGCACGAGGGCTGCCTGTCCCGGTGCGTGTTCGTGGTCCACGCGTAAGTGCACCAGGTGGCTCATCCACGCGCATGTGAGGACGGCGTCTTGCTCTGTGTTCTTCCTGTAGGGGCTCAGTGTGTTGAGAGAAAGAGCTGCCTGCCGTCCTGTCCTGTCCTGGGCACGCGAGGGCTGTGTGGTGTGCAGGAGACTAGGAGGGACAGGGACCACTCTACCAGTTCAGTTCCATCATCGGCCACAGTGACTTCGGAAACCAGAATCCGGCGTCCCAGTCCTGCCTGCCCCGAGATGAGCCGGCGGGGGCCAGCGCAGCCGGGCGGTCAGGAGGGAGCTGGCCTAGTGGAAGGTGTTGGGGTTGGGCCGGATCATCATCACCACCTTCTTGAGCGAGTAGGAGCCTCCTCGGAACTCGGCCCAGTAGACCCCGTCCTGGTAGCGGCTCCGGTAGTGGCCCCCGCGGTACCAGACCCCATTGAGGTTGGAGTGGGCGCAGGCGTTGTACCACCAGCCTCCCTTCTGGTAGTGGGCACAGTTCCCTGCAAGTGAGAGCCAGTGAGGAGGTGGTTTGACCCATGGCCACGATTTGCCTGGGGTCTGCAGCAGGACCATCTCTGGGAGGCGCCTGGGGCAAGAATGCTTGGGAGGTGGACGGCTTTAGACCTGCTCAGAGCTGCCTGGAGGCTGCTTCTGGACCTCGCCAGCTGTGTGAGCTCAGACCAGCACCTGCTCCCCTCCCAGGCACCGAGTTCTCCTCCGTGGTGGGGAAGCAGACAGCTGTGAGCGTTGAGCACATCAGTTGTGTGTGTGTGTGTGTGTGTGTGTGTGTTTGGACAGGCAGAGTTAGACAGTGAGAGAGAGAGAAAGACAGAGAGAAAGGTCTTCCATTTCCATTGGCTCACCCCCCAAATGGCTGCCACAGCTGGCGCGCTGCGCCGATCTGAAGCCAGGAGCCAGGTGCCCCCTCCCAGTCTCCCATGCTGGTGCAGGGCCCAAGCACTTGGGCCGTCCTCCACTGCCTTCCCGGGCCACAGCAGAGAGCTGGACTGGAAGAGGAGCAACTGGGACAGAATCCAGTGCCCCAACCGGGACTAGAACCCCTGGGTGCTGGCGCCACAGGCGGAGGATTAGCCTAGTGAGCTGTGGCGCTGGCTAAGCTCATCAGTGTTAAGGAGGGCCTACATTTAGTCCTTTGCCCAGGACTGGTGCACTGGGGAGGACCTCAAACCACAGGTTCTGCAAAGAACAGGAATGACTGAGGTGGACAGGGGAGAATAAAGGAGTTTTCCACAGTAATCTTAATTTGAAAAAAATTTATTTGAAAGGTAGAGTAAGAGAGAGAGAGAGAGAGAATCTTCCATCTGCTGGTTCACTTTCCAAATGACCATATCAGCCAGGGCTGGGCCAGGCTGAAGCCAGGAGTCAGGAACTCTAACTGGGTCTCCCACATGAGTGGTAGGGGCCCAAGCGGTTGGGCCATCATTTGCCACCTTCCCAGGTGTATTAGTAGGGAGCTAGACTGGAAGCAGAGCAGCAGGGACCCAAACCAATGCCCGTATGAAATGCCAGTGTCATAGGCAGTAGCTTAACTCTGAGCCTCTTTAGCAATTTCTGACAGTTAAAGCTGTCAGATCAAGTGTCTTTATATACAAAGATGAACTGCTTTCCTGTTCCTCCCTAGCCTGTATTATATCATTTCACAAAAGAAAGACATTTCTGTAAAATTCTCAGTATTGGGGCCGGCGTTGGGGCGTAGCAGGCTAAGCCTCCACCTGCGGTGCTGGCATCCCATATGGGTGCCAGTTTGAGTCCCCGCTGCTCCACTTCCAAGCCAGTTCCCTGCTGATGTGCTTGGGAAAGCAGTAGAAGATGGCCCAAGAGCTTGGGTCTCTGTACCCACGTGCGAGATCCAGAAGAAGCTCCAGGCTCCTGGCTTTGGCCTGGCCCAGCTCTGGCCATTGCAGCCGTTTGAGGAGTGAACCAGCAGATGGAAGACCTGTCTATCTGTTTCTCTCTCTTTCTCAAACTCTGCCTTTTGAATAAATACATTTTTCATAAACAAAATAGAACTCTTGGCATTATTGTGTCATGCTGGTGACTGGCCGTTCACACCAACAGTGGGCAGTGTGGTGGGCATGGGGCGCCAGGCGTGTGGGACATCACACCCCTCAGGCGGGGGGCCAAGCGAGTCCCTGTCCACCTGGTCGGGGGTGGGGCGACTGGGCCAGGGAGGGGACCTGTCCTCAGGGGAGGGCTGCCCCATCAGGTTTGTGAGTTGGAGGGGCTGGAAGGGCGGGTGGTCCCCAGCAGCCAAGGCTGTGGGAGGAGGTGAGGAGGCCGCAGGCAGTCTAGGCAGGAAGTTGGAGGAGACCCCCCAGCTCCGAGCACCCCAAGTTTTCTCAGAGCCTCTCCGGGGCTCCTCCTGGGCCGTGACTTGAGGCCGCAGGCCCTCGGTTCACCCACCCGCCTCCCGCTTGCTCCTGGAGGCCCCTGCGTGCCTGCTCTGCAGCCCTGGGAGGAGGAGCTCCCCAGTCAGGCCTGCTCCTCTCCCTGCTCCCCACAACGCCCTCAAGAAGCACACAGCAGCTGCGTGGGCCAGGCTCTGACAGGCACCCAGGCTCGTCCTGCCCTGCTGTCCCGGCAGCCGCGTGGCCTGGCCCAGGGGCCCCCGCTCCTCCTCCGGGCTCTCTCCAGCAGGGCCAGTCCAGTGTCCGTGGTGTGAGAGCGAGTGGGTCGTGTCCCACCTGTCCCCTGACGTGGGGAGAACTGCCCGCTGGACTGTGGCTGCCAAGGGGTCCTGGAGGGAGCCCTCTCCAGCGTGTAGGTATCAAGGTTCACCTAGAGCCGAGGTGGCTCCTCGAGGGGAGGGCGCCCTCAGACTGGGACTAAGAGGGAGGCTTGACAGGAGAGGCCGGGCACCCTAGGGACCAGACCCAGCATGGGGTCTTGGCAGGAGGGCAGGGGGGCAGGCCTTGCCGCCCAGGTCCCCATCCCTCAGCAGACGTGGGTGTGGGGCCTCAGGAGGCGTCAGCGGTGGGGAATCTAAGAGCCTGGCTGTGCACTCACAGTGTCAGTCTCTTCCCTTGTTTTCCACGGAGACTTCTTAGTAAGACCTAGTTTGAGGCATGTGAGCTCTGCTGGCTCCCTCTTCACCACTCCTTACGGCCGCGTGATCGTCCCGTGAAGGGCGCCCACCTGCCCTGAGCCCCTGCTGAGCTCCGGGCAGAGCTCGTGGGCTGCGTTCTCCCGGCCTGCAGATGTGGAAACCAAGGCACAGGGAGAGCCAGCAGCTCGCCCAGGACACGTGATGGGGCCCCCGGGTCAGCGTGGGACGACCCAGGGGGACACTGGCTGCCTCAGGCAGAGTCAGCGAGGCACACTCAACGCACGTCTGTGTGCACGCGATTTGTACACCTCTCCCTCTCCTGGCTCAGCTTTGTGGAAGGCGCCGTCAGGTGGGAGCAGGTCGGGCAGCTCGTGGTCTTCCTGTCCTCAACCGCTGGAGTCAGGGCCCCTGGGCTGGGTCAGCCTCTTCTCCCCACCCCACCCCTGGGTTTGCATCCACGGTTCCTACCTGTGTAGACGTCGTGGTCTCTGTCCAGGGTGGTGAACTGCTTGCCATTGTGCCAGGTGAAGGAGTCACCCGCGTTGCCATGGTAGCGCCCCAGCCGCAGCTTGTAAAACTCACTCTCGGGCTCCAGGCGGAAGCTGGCGTACTCCGCGAAGACCTTGCGGCCGGACCAGTCCTCCATGGTCACCAGCAGCTTGTAGTTGCCTTGGTTGGTGAGCCAGTAGATGTTCTCCAGGCCCAGCCAGTACTCGCCGTCGATGTTCCCGAACCCTTGCTGGAGAAAACCCCGGGGAGCGTTAGTGTGGAGCCTGCGGCGCCTGCGGAACCCTGGGCCAGGACAGAGGGACCCGGGAGCTGGGCAGAGTGAGAGGCCGGCCCTCAGGATGGCTCTGTAACATCAGGACTCGCTTTCCCCTTCTCAGCCTTAACTGTGTGCCTCATCCAGAAAAATGGGAACGGGCGCCAGCTCTGAGCCAGGCATTGTGGGAGCCTCTGCTCCTTGCTGTTACCTGGGAGATACCATGGGAGTGGATGGGGAATGGCAAACGGAGAGCCTGGCACACAGGCTCTGGCCAGCGCTCCTTGGATAGGTCCTTTACCGCCTCTGGGCGTGGGCAGCACATGGGGGTCACAGGTGCATTTTAGTGCACCGGACAGGTGTGAGCTTGCACAGATGGTCACACCCACCTGGCTCCCCATGGGTTTGGGATTGTTGTTGTTTTGGGACTCATGTGCTGAGTGGTGGCCACCAAGGTCTTGAGCGTGGCTTCATCCATCAGCCATGACAGTAGCTGGAATCGAGCAGGTGCTTCTGGGGCCTGTGTGGCTGTTAGGACTTTCCACGGGCTGTTTTGTCAACCCTCGGGCTGACTCTCAGAGCAAAGACAGGGAGAGCGGGTGACCTGAGGCCCAGAGCGGTCTCCAGCCACGAGCGCCTGAGGTGAGCCAGGGTGTGAACCGGGGAACCAGCCTTACCCGTTATGCTGCCCGGCCTCTAACAAAACCGAGGGGAGAGTGAGGAGGCCGTGTTGAGGAGGAGAGGAAGCAGAAGCCCGGGCTGGGGGCAGCGGGGCAGGAGGAGACCCAGGAAGGGGCCCGACGGCCTGTGTGAGGGTGGCTGCAGGCTGTGGCAGCGGCTCCCTCTCGGGTGATGTGGCGTGAAGTGTGTGGTGCCGCAGGAGCCGGGAGCTGCGTTTGCTGTCCCCAGAGCACCCTCCTGTCTCGAGGGGGGAGCTGGGGGCTGACGGAGCCCTGGCAGCCTTTCTTCCTCCAAGGGAGAGCATTCCAGCTCCCCGGAACTGGGGGGCCCAGAGGGTGGGCCTACACGGGCCCTGTGGGGGTTCTCCTGGGCCTGGGAGCTCGGGACTTGCCACGTCTGGGCTTCAGAGACAGGTCTTCCCCCCTGGGAATCCCAGCTGGGGATGAGGTGCTCCCCACCTGTGCCACTGGGTTGTTGGCCTCCCAGCGGTTGCCAGCGGCCGGCAGGGAGGGGACCGTCCCGCCCTGACCGGGTCTGCGTGCACCCCCCTCTGAGTGGCATCTCCTCCACGCTCAGCCCTCCCGGGGTGGGCCCGCAGCTCTCACCTTGTACGTCTCCCAGTTCCTGAAGAAGTTCACTGAGCCGTCCAGGCGCCTCTGGATGACCGTCCAGCCCCCGGGGTCATGCCTCTGGTCACACCACACCTGCATGAGGCGGTTGGTATTCTCAGGCTTCACCAGGTAGATGGAGCTGGTGTCGTGGCCGTCCTCCAGGGCCTGCAGGCAGTCTCTCCAGGGGCCTGGGGACAAAGATGTGCACGTCACGTCCCCGGGCCCCGCCCCGCCCGGCTCCTGGACCTTCAGTTTTGGTTTCCCAGACGTGAGAAATAAGGTGCCGTGACGCAAGAGCCCAGGGCTGAGAGCCGGAGTGCGTGGATCGCAAGCGCACTCTGCCCCGCCTTCCTTCCCTTGTGGAAGGGGGAATGTGGTCACCTCATTCAGGCCCAGCAGGCTTTCTGAGGTCATCTGCACGGAAGTCCCTGGGCGACTGCCTTTGGAGTTGGTTACGTGTGTGCCTGCCGGTCACGCAGGGATCGCGCCATGGGCAGCCCGCCGTGCTCCGCACCGCCCACAAGACTGCACACCTCCGTTCTGACCCCGTGTGTGTCTCGCCAGTGACCACGCGCCATGACAGTGGCTGCAGTTTTCATACATGAACCACATCACGGTTCCCAGGCCATGCAGCCTGTGGGGAGCAACTGGGAGCAACTCGGACTAGACTAAGTTACTGGAATTAAGACTTATTCTATGCATCTGCTCTCCCACAATATGGTGCTGAGAAGGGAGTAACAGTTTCTACGCAGCTGCCTCTCGCCAACTTGAGTGATGACCTGCAGGAGCTGATCCTGCTCCTGATTGGAGGAGAGCAGCGTACTCGGCGTGTGGGTAGCAGAGTTGGGATTGGTGGAAGAGGACTATAAAGGAGGAGAGAGACAACATGCACCAGGAACATCTATCTGAAGGAACACCTGTGCAGCCCCCGAGAGAGCCGGCCGGCGGTGTGCCGCTCCCCCGCGGAAGTGGGGAAAGTGGCAGGGGGCACCGCCCTTCCACGGAGGTGGAAGGGATAGTAGCCAACCCGGGAAGAACCAGCAGCAAACCCGGGAAGGGCCGAGCAGACAAAAGAACAGCGCAGGGTCCTGTGTCGTTCCTCCACGAAGACGGGGAGCGACACAGCCGCAGTTCCAGATGTTTCTGGGAATTGCACGCTGGTCTGCAGCTGGCTCCGGGGGACCAGGCTCCCTTCCAGCCCAGCCTCTGTATTTCCCAAAGGAAGCTCACAGAGGGGCACACGTGCAGAGCCCACATTCTGAGCGCACCCTTCTGTAAGCAGGACCGTGAACTTGAATTTGATGTCTAGGACACACACCAACCCAGGGCTCTCTTCTGAAACTGTGGCCAGAGGGTCCTGGGACCTCTCACTCCACCGAGGCCAGGCAGAAGGAATGGGTGTCACAGGGGTGGGGAGGGGTGGTCCTCAGGCCCCTTCCCACAGAGCCATTCGCAGCAGCTGCCCGTGTTCTGATGTCAGTCACATCAGCAAGGAGGTGCACTCAGTCACCAAGGTCTCCGCTCGCTTCAGGACGGCCATTCCCAGTAAATAAGTAAAATCGCCATGGCCAAAAACGTAGGCCTTTCCTGTGGCCTGGAGCTGGGTGCGAGCCCCTGGCCCTGGGAATTCAGGCACCGCCTCGCTCATCTCTCAGTCCCCAGCACCCACGTGGCACCGAGAAGAGAGCTTTGAGTGCCAGCAGTTATCCGGGGGCTCCTCCTTCACCATGTCCCCTACAGAGCCTGGGGGACACCCAGGACACCAGGCCCCGCCCCGGGCAGCGTGTGTGGCACAAACAGCCCCTCCTCCGTTCCTTCCGTGCCTGTGCCCTTGCCTGCCTTGTCCCTCCCTCTGCCAGCCGGACCTGCAGCAAGCGTGTTCAGGAAGGAGAAAGCGGTTTCGCTGGTGTCCGCCCCGAGCCCCCGGGACCAGGCAGAGAACGGGAGTTTGTCCCCGACAGCTGGAGCAGAGAGCACCGTGGGCGTGGGAGGCCTCCCAGCTCCTCACCCAGCCGGCAGCACGTGGGAGGTGACAGAAGATGTGGCAAAACAACGCCCACCGCAGCAGCAGCCAGCTGCTTGCTGCCGGGCCACCCGGCCTCCTGAGGACTGGTCAGATGGCGGAGGCCGTCCCTGGAGAGGTGCCTGGGACGAGAAGCTGGGTCCCAAGGCTTCCAGCACCAAGCTACCCTGGTGGGTGCCTCCAACGGTTTTAGCTCTGCCCCTGGCATTAGTGTTTATAAATGTTTTGGGATCTTTTCAGAGTTTGGGGAAAGCTCCAGATCTGCCAGTCAGCAAAACTCACAGATTGCGTATGGTTTCAGAAGGTACATGGACCCCAACTCCAGGCTGTGGACCCCCCAGCTGTAAGAGAGTCCTGACGGAAGGAGTCATTAGTAACAGTTGGGTACCCGGAGCTCTTCCCGAGTGCCGGGTGCTGTTCCAAGCCCTGCCCGCCTCTTTCCACACCTGATTCTCTGACCCTCCTGTGAGGCAGGCAGTAGTCACCCCACTTCACAGGTGAAGGGGCCGGAGCTGGGATGCTGGGAGTGGCCCTCAGAGCGTGGGGCAGCACGAGTACATGCTGGCAGGTGCCGTCCAGGGCCACACTCTCAAGCCTTCCTCCTTTTCGAAACCAGAGTGAACTTGCAGGGAGCGGCCCAGGCCTGCTGAGCTCGGCACCCGAGGACTGCGTTTCTTATCTTTGCCAGTGGCCAGGCAAAAATGTGCAGGTCTTTTGCCAAGTGTTCTAGCTTCTGAGAGCCTCTTGGGTGTCCTTTGCCCATCTTCCGACCACTGTAGTGCTGATGGTGGTGTGGTTACCCAGGAGCAGCGAGAAATCTGCACGGGGAGGCACGCAGGGCACAGTGACAGAGCTGGAACGCTTGTACGGGAGCAGCCCCGCGAAACCTGCGTGCGTAACGTGAGAAAGGCAGAGACCAATCTACGGCCACATCGCGGACGTAACACCCTCGAGGAGGCCAGGGAGGCGCGGTGGAGGAAGGCGAGGTGTGGGGCTGCAGAAAGGGACCCACACTTGGGGGCTGGAGCTCTCGGCTCAAGGCTTGGGGTGACTTTGAGGGAGGAGCCTTGGTTTCTTTTGTAAAACAGGGAAGGACCCCTCGCTGGGCTGCGCGTCTCCCGTACACTGACTCACACTCACATACTCCTACACGTGCACCCACACTCTCGCACACACACATCTATGTTGCTGTGTGCTTTCTAACTTCCAAGAATAAGTGTAAGATTATTTACTAATCGATGTTTCCCATGGCCATGTTTTAAGGCAGAATATCAGTGGAGATGGCCACACGGATATATTGAAATGAGGAGTGGAAATCGTTTTGTTAACAAAACCGAATTTTCCACGTGCGGTAGGAACCCCAACCCCAACCCCAACCCCAACCCCAACCCCAACCCTAACCCTAACCCTGTCCCCTTGAAGCTGTGCAGATGCCCAGCGCCGTGCGGCCGCGCTCCCTGCTCACGGGGCTGCCCTGCCCGGAGCTCCCGGCAGCTCTGACTCCCCTGCGCCTCGGCTCAGAGGTGGTGAGTGCCCCAGTGTCACCTCTACAAAGACCGCATTTAGACCGCGGCGAGCTGCAGCCAGACTGTTCCACGTGAAAAGAAGTGCAGCTGCCGTGACTGCTGAGGGGGTGTGGCTCCTCAGAAAGGCAGCAAGAGTGTGGAAAGCCCACGGGGTCTGGAGCCTGGAGGCCAGGGAGGAGGGATGACGGCCAGTGGGAACGGAGGTTCGCCCTCAGACCCCAGGTGAGTGTTGGCGGTGGTCACGTTTGGGGGCCAAGTCCCCTCCCTGCCTCCATCCTCCTTTCTCGGGTTCCTGACACAAGCATTAAGCACACATGGCACACAGGGTGCCCACTACCCAGCAGCCGTGTGAGGCAAGGCCTTTCTGTAGGGCCTGACCTGCCCAGGCACGGTCTCCTCTCTTGGGTCTGCCTCACTCACCCGCCCAGGCCCACAGACCGCGCCAGCTTCCCGTGCAGCGAGCCCTCGTGCAGTGGCTCTGCGGATGGCTCCCCTCGCAGCCAGAGCCAAGAAGCGGGCCTGTGTGGGCAGGAGGCTGGGCCCAGGGTGCAGGAAGAGTAGCAGGATCTGTCCCGTGTCGGTCGGCAGTGTCACAGGCTGAGGACCCGCCCCCTTCGGCCACACGGGGCCCTGGGACCTGTTCCTGAGAACATTCGAGTCCCTGTGCCGGCCCTGGGGGAGGCTTCCGTGACGTCTTGTTGTGCTTTGGCGTGAGGGCTGTGTGCTGTTTGTGGTTATTCCCACCAGTGACGTGTCTCCAGAAGTTCTCTGCGGCTCTCCCTGAGACGGCATGATTTTTCCGGCAAGAGAACTGAGTTGTTGTTGAGATCGGATCTGGAGTTTCCCACCGGAATGAACGTTTCTGAGCGGCAGGGCACGTGGGCTGCTCAGCCGCGAGTCGGGCCTCACCGGGCGTCCTGTGGGGCAGGAGGACAGACGGGGGCCAGCGGCAGCCAGGAGCAGTGACACCCTCCGGAAGGCTGGGTGGAATAGTGCTGTGGTTAGGGCCAGTGCGTTCCGTGTCAGTCCCCTCCTGGCAGCACAGTAACCTGGACGCAGGAAGTGCGTGCATGTCCTTTGAGGTGTCCCCATCTCCTGCCCAGCCCTGGGCGGACAGCGGGGATCTCACTTCTGGCTGTCCCAGGGAACGGATCCCAAGGGACACGCCTGCTCTCCCGGCCACTTTAGTCCTCAGCCGACGGGCACGGTGCCCGGGGCTAGTGAGCTTTTCGGGACTTTATGAACATGTTTGAGGCCTTATAATAAAAAACTTATTGGCTCTAAAATATGAAAGGAAAACTGTAAAATTGCAATTTATTAGTACATAATTAAGTTTCTGCCAAGTGTTACATTTTGTCAGGTTCGCTAATTGTTAGATTTAGTCTCCATAAAAAACACTACTGCTTTTGAAAGCAACTTGTAGGTTAGATTTTTCTCACTTCCCAAGAATTCCTGAACACGCCTGATGTTTGCGGAGAAATCAGAGCCAGCCATAAAGTAATTGAGTTACTCTTAGCCAAATAATTTCAAGAGCAAAATTGTCAAAATATCCTTTTGAAGCTCTTACAGTAAAAATTATATTAGACGTGTGAGGGGAGTGTGTCTCAGCCCGTTCAGTGCCGTCCAAATTCGCCTGGAG